TATCTCTCTATCTATCTATCTCTATACTCTTATCTTTCTAGGATATAGTTTAAGTTTTTAAATTGGTTTGCACACAATCATGCATGTATATTGTGTTTTGTTCATGTAGATTATGTTTTCTACAATCACTCATATACATCATATTTTGTGTAATTAATTACTATCAAATTATCCCAATTATTTCCCTATCTTTTCAAGTCCCCATTGGCTCTTTCCTACTCTTTCACCCTCACTGACCTCTGCTATTCTAGTGACTTCCACCTCCTTCTCCTTTCTCTACGCCTCCTTTTCCTTTTACCTTTTGGACATTTACGCATATCTTGTTCATTTATCCTCTTATTTTCTCTGGTTTTTTTTTCTTTCTTTTTTCTTTTTTTTTCTTAGAGGTCAGCTGGTGACAGTTCCAGATTTTGTAGCTAGGAAATTTTTTATATTTGCTGTCTAAGAAAAAGTCAAGGTTTCTGATCTTATTATGTTTTTATGAAACATATTCTGTACTGTTAAAACTGGGATTTTGAAGTTTTCTCTATTTTGACTCATTTAAACTACTCAAAACATTAGCTTCATTTGCTTTCAGTATGGTTAATAATTGAAATACATTGGTGAAATACATGAATTTCTTAGTATTTATAGGGAATTATTTACATGGTATAGTTAATAGATTGGAAATATTTTTGTGTACTTTTGTTCAGTTTCAACATGGAGAATGATGTATTATTTTCTTTTCAAAGATTTAAAAGGAATTCCTGATCAGATTATAGCTGGGTTATTCAAATTGTTATTGAAGGAGGAAAAAATAGGTCTCATCACTAAAGCTTAGTAAATGTTAATTAAAATTGATAGAATTGTTAAATTGTTTTGTGTTATGCCCTTTATTTCTTGGTTTCTAATTACATTTTTTTGTTTTACCAAATTACATAATTAATTTAGAATTTTCATGAATATTTAATTTCTAGAAATTAAGTTTCTAAATTGGATTTTGTTTTGAGACCATTATCAGTAATATATTCTAGAAACCCAAGTCAGAATTTGTGTAATAGAATTGAAATACCCTGCAATTGTAAAACATGGAAAATAATTGCAGTTGTCAAGACATTTAGAATTTAATGCCTGTTTGTTGATTGAATTCACTACATTAGTTCTGAGGAATATATTTTATTAAGACACATAAACATATGTACTTGTTTATAGGACTATGGTAACTTTAAGCTTATTGTTGTTGTTGTTGTTAAGTGCCGTCAAGTTGCAGGGGACTCATAGTGACCTTATGAAGAAGAGTCCTCAACGCTTGTGTGTTTTTCATGCTCTCTCCAGGTTCATAGGGTTTCTGGAGGCAAGCTATTATGGAAGTGGATGCCACTCCTCCTTCCAAGCTTATTTTAATCGGGGTGCTCCACCCCACTCCCTGTCCACATTGAGTAGCCAACCATTAACACATTTGACACATCAGTGTCACTGTGTTCAGCCTCACAGCAAGCACAAGTGACCACTGTACGGCAACTTGTACACCAGGGCTATACGACCTAGAGGAATGTCTGAATAAAAACAATGAAAGACAGGCCCGAGGGCCACGGATTAAAAGTCACCCACCTTTGGCTTGGTAGCATCCCTTTCTGTCCACTGGACCAGCTGATCTCTCTCTCTCTATGTTGTTATTGTTGTTGTTAAGTGCCGTGGAGTCGCAGGCAGCTCATAGCGACCCTATGAAGGAGAGTCCTCGACGCTTGGGTGTCTCTCATCCTTTCTCCAGGTTCATAGGGTTTAGGGCGGCAAGCTATTATGGAAGTGAATGCCACTGCTCCTTCCAAGCTTATTTTAATCGGGGAGCTCTACCCCACTCTCTGTCTGCATTGGGAACTTGAAACTTATTAAACATAAAATAAGAACATTTTATTTTACATGAGATTTAAAATTCTTATACTTTTCCTGTTTTTACAATATTACTTTATATTTCTTTCGGGAGCTCTATTGGTATAGACTATAGGGTGTTGCTCTATCATTACTATAGGGTAATTCATAGGCCTCTACTCTTTGGTGGTTCAAATCCACCAACCACTGGTTCCATGATGAACAATCTTTCTCATCTGATTTATATTCTTAGGTACCCACTTGGGGGTCAGCTATGAGTTCCTTCTACATGATGGCTTTGAACTTTTGAAATTTTTTTAGTTTATCTTTCTTTTGTTTTTGTTTTGGTGATGAAGAGAATGCACTATCTTTTGGTTTAATTTTTCATACCTTTCCTATAGTCGTGAGGTTTAAAGAGTTTTTAGTTTGGTTTTCTCCCTAATTTCCAGGAGAATTTTTAAAAGAATACCCTTTTCAAACTTAGTGTTGCCAAAGTTCTAATTTTAGAATTCTGGGAAGATTAATATTTTTATATTAACAAACTAAATCTTAGAATTGAAATATTTTTATGCATCTATCAAATAATTCTTCCTACGAATGTCTAGTTTCAGCATAGTTTATTTACTTAATATTTTCCCGTTTGAGTCCTTTAACATTGAATGCTGGCAAATTGAAATCTCAGAGCTCTGAAGAGTAGGTGTCATCTGTATTGCTGTGTGGACTTTTGCCTGGTGTTGAAGCTAACATTCATCACTTAGTGAAAATGAAAGATAATGCCTCTTATTTGCCCCATTCTTTTGTCAAATATAAGAAAACTAAGAGGTGTTTTTAACTTAGAATATAAACATTGACTCTGCACATTTACATACAAATCTGATAGTTCAGTGACTGATTCCTTTACAGTGTGGTAGAATGTGAAATACACTTCATGGTGGTTTTTGGAGTCAATGACTATGAAGTTTCTCTCTTTATACTGTTGTGTTGAGCTATACAGTGCACTCATCAGAGAGCATAAATCTTGAAGCATACAGCTTGATGCACTTTCACATGCATATACTTCATTAAACTGCCCCCTGATCAAAATATATTTCCCACTTCCCAGAGGCTCCCTTACATCCTTCTGCTCAATGCTTTGCCCCTGTAAATTCACTTCTGTAGCCAAAAATTACTTTTGCCTGTTCTGAGTTTCATATAAGTGGTATCTTTAACTATTCATTCTTATTTCGGGCTCCCCCCCCCACTCATTATATTGTACTTTGTGGATCAAAACAAACTGTGGCTAAAACTGCAAAGAATGGGAATCCGAGAACACTTGATTATGCTTATGCAAAATCTATACTTGGACCAGGAGGTAGTCATCAGAACAGAGCAAGGAAACACTGCATGGTTCAAAATTGGGAGGGGTGTACACCAGGAATGTGTCTTATCTCTACACCGTTTCAATCTACATGCAGATCAGATTGTATAGAAGGCTGAGCTTTATGAGGAAAAGTGTGGCATCAGGATTGGAGGTAGACTTATCAGTTCTCCTTCTATTCTCCCTAGTCATTGTCTAGCTCTCTGATGCATAGCGAGTGATTGCAAAGACCATGGCCTGTATCAGGTGCACCTTAGTCTCCAGAGGGACATCAGTGCTCTTCAGTACTTTGGAGAGATCTCTAACAGCAGACTTCTATCACAATATGTCTTTTAATTTCCTGGCTGGTGAAGCCAAGGAAACTAAAGCTGTTAACAATCTCATAATGTATGGATAATATAGTGGGCTGATAAATGAAAGTTATATGCCTTAAATCCACTGCTGTTCTGTGAAAGAAAGATATGTGTCTCCTATAAAGATTTACAACCTCTAAAGTCCAATGGAAAGTAGATTTGAGTTGGAACTGACTCAACAATAATGGGTAAGGATATGGTTGGGATTTTTTTAAAAAAAATCTTTATAGTATTTAACAGTAAATATTTATCACGTAATCTTGTATCCATTTCACAGATAAATAAGTAAATTAATTTCCAGGTTCCAGCAATGCTGAATAAATTAGCTATACAAATTCTTGTACATATTTTTAGTGGGAAAATGTACTCATTTCTGTTAGATATTTATGTTGGAGTATAATTGTGGTCACATGCTTAACTTCAGG